AATTTAACAAAATCATCTGATTTTACATTAGAGGTGTGTGACAGGGGTTTGATCACCAGCTTGAAAACACCCAGGCTTCCCAGAATGACAAGGATCTAGAACTTACCTCCAGCAGCTGCCAGGACCATACGAGGTGCCTTGAAGTGAGCATCAACATATGAAGCTAGATCTGCTCGAGTCAGATGCCTAGAAAGAACAAAGAGACCCAGTGTATCAGCATCTCTGAGTTGGAGGGCTGACACGTTTAGGAGAAGCAAGTTCACAATGCAGAGACAGCAGTGATGTTGTTGATTCTCTTAGTTACAGGGTAATAATAATTTTTAGAAGCAAGACTGTACTGTCTGCATTTTCCCTGTGTTCTAATGCCAGAACACAGAGAACGGAAACCAGTGGCCAAGAAGGAGAGTTAAGGACAGACTTCAATACAGACTAGAGAGTACTGACCTTGGGCACTGAGCTACCAGTACCCCAACAGGTGTGTATGCTGAAGGCCACTGCTTTAACAAGCACCCGTAGCTCTTAATTTATCTAACGGTGTCAAACTGACAAGTATGGGAGGAGGTTCAACCTGGCCCTACCAACCTCATGTCTTGCATGAGGGGGATTCTAAAGAATGTGTGCAGCATTACACTTTCACCAGCCCCAACGGGAAAAACACAGTCAAGACACAACAAGAAGCCCAGGGGCACAGATCACTTCTGTGTACAGACTGGTTTCCTCATGCAGTCACCACTACTGAGAAGCAGCAGTCATGCACCCCAAGGACTGAACCCACGGGCTGTGTGCCGCATCCAGCCTATTGCTCACTTGATGTTCTCTGTGGTCCCCTCAACAGTGCGGGCCAGAGCAGTCCCCTGGAAAGCAGTGGCATGAAGGTAGTCAAAGGTAACATCCGTCAAGTTGCTGTCGATTTCTTTCAGCTCCTGAAGGATGACACCACGTTCCTTCTCGATCTGAGACTCTTCCAGTGCACAGTTCTGCACAATGTCGGCAAGAAGCTCCACAACTGCAACACATTTCCTATGTTAGCAATCCTGCTGCCTGACTGCTACCCAGTGCTGCTGAAAGGAGAAAAGACACACAGGCAGCAGGGGCACTGCAAGAGGAGTGAGCAACAAACCACGCTGGGGAGGGGATGCAACCTAGAGATGAGTACTACCTATTCCCACAGCATCAAGGAGGGACAAACAACACTGTTCTAGCATGAAGTCTCCAAGTCAGCTTGCCAAGCATGACTGCCAGCAGAAAGCAGGCAAAAACTGCAGAAGGTGAAGCATGTCAGAAGCAAGGTACTGTTGCAGATACACATCAAATCCTTACAGAGATTGTGACCTCTACAGCGTAGGCCCACATCTACAGTAGGGCCCATAGCTCTGACTCAAATCACCGGCTCTGGACTAAACCGACCTGAAGAGGAGTCTGCACATGGTACAAGAGCACAAGCAACACCTGCAAGAGCTGCGCTGAGGACTCCTGACACAGTAGCTGTCACTGACCTCAGTTTCTCAGCTCCATAAAACAACCACAGACTACTGAACACCCCCTCTCCCTCCTGGCAATATAGTGCAGCCTGACATAACAAGAGCTTTGCAAAACTGGTTTTATGAACACATGAACTTGCAGCCTTGATGCACCATGTCATGGCAGCACTCTCTTCAACTACCTCCAATTTATGGCTCAGCTATGACTTCATTCCCTGATCTGTTGTTAGAAAGGATGCTGGTAGGAGAGAAACACAAGGACAAGTGCTTGCTTAACCTCCAAATCAGACTTTGCCCGCTGGCCATCCCACCTTTAGGCATGTCCTTGGACAAGGCTTTTATGTAATAGGCAGTCTGCTCACGCGAGGTGTACCCGTTCAGGTGAGCACCCATACTCTCCACCTCCTTTTCAAAGGCAGCACCAGGACGCTTCTTTGTGCCCTAAAAAAACCCAGATAAACAATTATGAAGTGAACAGATTTCCCTCTCGGGCAGAACTAAAGGAAGGAAAAGAACATTAAAAACCTAAAATGGTAAAACCTGTCACATGATTCATAAAAGCCAAGAGCAAGTGCAGAAAGAAAGAGATTTAAAACATGGCTTATTTACCTAGCTAAAGGATGGCTGAGGTGTACTTTGAAAGACCAATAAAAACCCAGCAGGGAAGACCTACGCTAAGAGACAACAGTGAAGATCACATTCATGGAAATAAACCAAGAACAAGCCTAAATCAAAAATAAGCAGGTTTCCAGCTATCCAGCCAGCAATATTTGGAAGCCAGAATGGGAGCAGAAACCTACTTCTAATACAGAGCTCATCTCTTAAGGAGCAAGCCAGATGCTGCAGTTGCCTATGATGGCACAGGCTGGACTCGAGTCAGCAAGTCCCAAGCTTAGATGCCTTCTGCCCTAGAGCTGTTCAGCAGACACTTACATTATTAGAAAAGTAAGAGCTGTAGTCTCTAAACTCTGCTGGTCCACTAAGAAAACCAAAGAAAAATAGATGGCTACAGGAAACGCTGTTTTGAGCTCTGCCTGCTAACCTGAAGAAATATGGTTCATAACGTAGTCCTGCATGTGCACTACACAAGGGCTGGGACAGTCAGTGATTGAAACCACAGCATCACAGACTCAGTCTTGTTTGTTACTTACAACTTTTTTTCCTTTAAGAGGGGAAATACCAACTAGTAAATAAGAGTTGCCTTAATTCATGCATGCTTGCAGGTTGCCGCGTATTCAACCAAAGAGCACCATATAGGCTAAGTACTTTTTAAAGTTTATTTTTATACGAAGTGCAAAGTCTCTGGGACTCAGATGACCCAATTTACGCTCTCTTTTAACGACTACAGTCTCCGAAGCAAGAGCGCAATATATTAAGTGGAATACTTAGAACAGCTCTCCATGTAGTCCTGTGCCAGACGTAGCACAACTCCTTACCTTAAAGGCCAGATGTTCCAGGAAGTAACCAGCCCCACTGTTCTTCTCATTTTCATGGCGGCTCCCCACCCCGATCCACACACCCACCTAACGGCAAAAGCACCATATTAGAATGACAATACACATATTAGAAAAGAAAACAAAGAGCATGTTCAAGCCTCGTGCCACAAATATAACAGCACAAGCAAGAAGTTTGCTCCACAGACATTGCACTAGTAGCATCAAAATAAGAACAAGCACCAGGAACTGTTTCCTGTACACATTTTGGCTTTTTTCCTAGCAGCTTCACAGAAGCCTTTGCTAGTTTTGCCAGATATATAACTACTACTGATCACTTACTGCTTACACAAAAACTGCAAGGCTGAGAAAACTTGTAGAGCGTGAAAGCTTGACTACAGACTTATACAAAGCCAGGCTAGGCCTTCTAGTGCTACATTAATCCCACCAGTTAACAAACAGAAGTGGTGGGGTCTCTGTCAAAAGCTTCAGTTCAAATAGGGGTTTGTCACTTTTAGCAGACCAGCTACAGAGTAGGCAAGGCTACCTTTCAAGTAAGCCCTTAACCTATCTTAAGCTTACCGTACACGTTGGCTGATTGGACTCCTCCGAAGCTACTCGGAGACCATTGTCTAGAGTGGTGACTTGGGTCTCAGGGATATTATGGAGTGTCTGGGCATAGGTGGCAGCACCTCGGTTCCTTGTCAACAAAGCTGCCTAAAAAAAATAAAGGCTATGATCACCACTAACCAGCAACTCCCCTCTGCAGGGCAGACCTCCAGAATGCAGACCGCTGGGCACACAGCTGGCCGAAGCTAGGCCAGACAAGCTCTTTCACGTTTACATTGAAGAGCTCCCGCTACACACCGTTCGTTAACCGGAGAACCAGAAACCCTCCGCAGCGTCAGAGGTTTCGAGCTGGTCGAAAACCCCAGGGAAGAGTCCCACGAACCGGTCAAAACCCCGTACCGGGGCGGAGGAGGAGGGCGAACAGCAGGCCCCCGGCAAGCCCCGCAAGCAGGGGGGTTTCCGTGGCGACCGCCGCCCGCCCCGCACCGGCCGCCGCGTCCCCGTGACCTTCCCGGCCGACCGGCAGGCTAGGCCCGGCAGCCCCACCGCACCGCTCCCCTTACCGGCCTCCCCCCGGCCCACCTCGCCACTTCCCCGCCGCCGGCCGCGGTGAACTCACGGAGGGGCGAGGGCCCCACAGCAAGGCCCGCCCGGCCGCGCACCCCGCCCGGCACACAGAGGAAGCCGCCATCTTGTCCCTGCCGCCGCCGACCGAGCGGGCTGCAGCGCGCCTGCGCCGGAAGGAGGGGGCCTTGTGGGCGGGGAGGCGCACGCGCACGAGGCCGAGCGGCCGCCGGCGCGTCAGCGATACGCATGCGCACGAGGAGGAGGCGGTCCGCGCCGGCGGAGAGGGGCGCATGCGCAAAGTCGTGCGGGCGGGGGGAGGCGCCCCCCAGTGGCGGCTGGAACCGCGGGGCTGCCCGGGGGATGGGGGGTCCCCGCCCGCACCGCTCCCTCGGCCGCAGCCCCGCGGGCCCGGAGCGGGTCGCGGGGGGGGAAAAGTGGCAGAAAAAGGCCGGGGGGGTGGCGGGCCAAGCCTGCCCGCAGGGAGGGCCAGGCCCGGGCCTGGGCCCAACGGGCCAGTGCCCACCAGTGCCAGGGTGCAGCCAGGCGGCGCTGCCTGCGGTCACCTTTATTGAGGAAAGTGCATTAAAACGAAGCCTGAGAAGTGGTACACGGTTTTATCTGTGACGCCAACCCGCTGCCGGGAGCGGGCCCCCCTTTGACCGAGTCCTGGGGCCCCTCTGCCACCCCCCAAACCAGAGCCCGGCCTGGTGGGACAGGCCCGTGCCGGCGCCGAGCGGGGCAGCCAAGCGGGCACGTTGGCGTGACAGCCTGCGGCAGCTCCGTCGCAGGGGAGCTCACGGCCGCGGCAGGGCCCCAGCTCTCGGAGTCCGGAGGGGCTGGTGGGGGTACGAGGCCTCCGGGCCCCGGGGTGGGTGAGTTGGTGCCATCAGGGTGGCAAAGCCCTCCTCGCCCACCCGGCTCCTCGGGGAGACGTCTTCCTCTTGCGGGACTACATCCTGGTGCTGAGGTCCACCTAAGGGGGACAGACGGGAGGGTTGGCTTGGCTGCCTCCCTCCCATCACAGTCACAGGGACGGCGAGGCTGGGTGCTTACCAAGGTCTGGCGCTGCTCCCCACTGATGTGGAGCACAGCGTCGTGCACCGAGGGGAAGAAGCAGTGCTTGGTGATGGCCGAGCTGAAGAAGTTGCCCCGCTCCAGCTGGGCGAGGACGGGCCCTGTGTGGAGGGAGAAACATCCGAAGCTGTAGCACCTGGCTGAGCCCACCATCCCCCACCCGGAGCAGCCTCCCTCCCCCTGTGCTGCAGGGGTCACTGGGGCCATCACCAGGGATCCAGCTGCCCCGCTGGGGGCTGCAGGGCTCAGTCTGGGCCCATGGGACAACCTGCAGCACCTGCCCCCTGGGGAAACCCTGGGAATGGGGACACCATGGAGGGAGCTGTGTCCCGAAGGGGTGGGTATGCCTAGCAGGGGCTGATGGCTCTGCAGAGCCTTCTCACCCGGGCAGCCAGCAATGAAGACGTCCGCTTCTATCTCATGGAAATCTCTGAAGATCTGCAAAAAGGAGAAAACATTTTGCCTGGGAAGAAGGACAGGCTGCAGCCATCGGGCTACCCTGCAGGGTCTTGGGGACGCCCACAGCAAAGCTGCCGGCCTGCCTGCTCCCCCAGCCCCTTACATTCTTCAGGATCTTGATGGAGACGGTGTCCACGAAGCTGACGGGGCTGAAGTCCAAGATGATGGCGTGGAAGCTGGGCTGGGGCAGCCCCAGGGTGCGCAAGGTGGGCTTGGGGGGTGTGCTGCCCTCCGCCCCGCTCAGCTCGATCACCGCCACGCCTGGACCATTCTCTCCATCCTCTGTGTCCTGGGGGAGGGAAGGAGACCCGGCCTCACTGCACGGGGGCTGGCAGTACCCCTGGCTGGGCAGTGTCCCCTGTTGGGCTCGCCCTGCCCTATCACACAGTGGGGCTTGGTGAGGCTCTTGGGCTGCATTAGGGCACAGGCAGTGGATGTCCTCGGGAGAGGTGACTTGCTCGCACCTTCACCTACTTTGGGCTCTTTCCAGATGCGCCGGGATGCAACCCTCTCCCCAGTGACCCTCTCCAGAGCTGGGCTCATTAGCTGGCACCAGGTCAGCCTTTGTACTCGCTCTTAGTTCTGATAAACTGGCCACACAGCTAATGACTCACTGGCTCCACTACCTAATCATTAACGGCCTGGCTTTCCCTGCCCACCCTGGGTGTGACGCCATGGCCCGGCCCCAGTGCCTCTTCTCACCCAGTGGCCCCAGACTGAACCGGGAGCCCCACGGGCCACCAAGCCCAGCAAATGCATGGGTGGGAGGGCCAGGGCCAGGCAGGGAGGCGGTGCAGGGTGGCACCAGAGGGGTCCCCCGTGGCAGGGAAGCACCTTTTTTCTCTTTGCTTTCTCCTTCTCCGCTTTCTTCTGCTGTTTCTTCAGCTTCTTGAGGGCCTTCTTCTTCTTCTCGATCAGGCGGTCCACGTTGATGCCACTCTGCAAAACAATGCAGCCCCGTGTCCCCAGGTGCCCCAGGTGTTGGCAGGCTGGGGACACCAGGGGGCTGGCAGCTCTCCTACCTTTTTCTTCAGGGCCTCAGCATACAGCTCCACATTGGCAAAATAGAGAGTGGAGGAGGAGCGAAAGATCTTCACGCCAGGGACCTCCTGTGCCTGGGGGCAGATGGGGAGGGTGCTACCCCAGGAATGGAGGCCCCTGCTCCTCTTCCCTCCCTCCCCCAAAATGCCCCCCCGCTCCTTTCCCCAGCGAACAGCCCCTGGGGGTGCTTTGAACTGCCCCCCCATTGCAGATGGCTCTTCTCCCACCCCCCTGGTGCTGTTACCATCTGGTATTCAGCCACATCCCTGTAGACATCGGTGTTGGAGATGCGCCCCAGGATGGAGTAGCGGGGGCTGCAGGGAGCAGAGCAAGGGGCTGAGGTCACCACGGGCTTCTCCTGTCCTCGGGACGCAGCACTGGCCCCAGCCCCAGGGTACTCACAGCTGGGTGCGGAAGATGACGGTGAGCAGCCCGAAGGCCACTGAGGCCCCCAGGCCGATGTCCAAGTTCAGCATGAGGGTGGCCACAAAGGTCACAATCCAGACCATCTAGAAGGGAGACGTGGTTAGCTGCAGCACGACCTCTCTGCCAGCACCTGCAAGCCTCGGGGAGGGTGGAGAAATCCTCTCCAGGGACAAGAGCAAAGCCCCAGGGCTGGGCAGCACCTTACCAGGTCCACCTGGTTGGACTTCCAGAGCGTGCGGATGTCACTGAACTGCTTGAACATACCCTTGAGGTTGATGATGATGATGGCAGCCAAGATGGCCTAGGAGAGAAGTCCCTGCACCTATGAGGATGCTGAGGGCAGGTCTGGGGCACGGCCCTTGGCTGTTCCCCTGCCACACCACGTTGCCATGGGACGGGCACAGGGGTGGGATGTGGCACAGAGGCTATGGGACCAGATGTACCTTGGGCAGGTCCCGGAAGAGCTCTCCGATCTTCAGGATGGTCACCAGGATGACCAGGGATGAGATGACACCAGCTACCTGAGGGGAAAGAAAGTGGGAGGTGAGAGGTGAACCTCCCACTGTTTGCTGTGTTCCTTGCCCCGGGTCCAGCCCCACGGAGGGAGGCAGCATTGCCCAGACCCACCTGGCTGTTACCCCCTGTGCTCTCCTGCACCAGGCTCCGCGACATGGAGCAGCTGATGGCAAAACACTGGAAGAAGCCCCCCAGGAAGTTGCAGAGGCCCAGCGCGATCAGCTCCTGCGGGGACAGAGCAGCGGTGTGGGAGCCCATGCCTGCCCCAGCTGCAAGAAGTACAAGCTTGGTTTTCACCCAGGGAAGGGGCCCTGCGCGTCAGAGCATCACCTGGTTGCTGTCCACTTTGTAGCCATGCTTCAGGGCAAAGATCTTACCCAGGGAGATGCAGATGGCGTAGCCCACCACAGCAATGGCGAAGGCATTGCCCACAACCTGCCCAAAGTAGCTGACGTTAGGGACCACAGGCGGCTTCAACCTACAGCCAAGACAGGGAGATGGGGCTCAAAAGGGGGGTCCCGCGGGCAGTGCGGTGCCCCAGCACAGCCACCCTCACCGCCCAGCCTTGCTCACCCGCTGGGGATGTGGCCCACCACAGAGATGCCAAATTTGGCGTTGAGGTTGACGCCATAGGAGATGCCAGTGGAGACGATGATCTGGGGGAGGATGGCTGGAGTGAGGGAGGGCCTTCCTGCACAGGGACCATGGTGGAGGAGGAGGAGGAGGAGGAGGGGACCCATGCCCTGGAGCTGCACTCGCCAAGGCACTCCATCCCACCCTTCTCCACCCTGGAGGGGACAGGGCCACCCGTGGCTGGGGTGGCCAGCTGGGGAGGCCATGAGGAGCTGGGGCAGCTCTGGGTACCGTGATAAGCTCGATGGGGATAGGCATGGGCAGCTTGGAGGCGAACTGGTGGTTGAACTCTTTCACGGCGAAGATGGCCACCATGGCAATGATGGCTGTCACCAGAGTGCCCACGTTGGTCTGTGGCAGCTTCTGGCAAATCTCAATGAAGGTCTAGAGGACACAGGAGGAGGGAAAGGGCTCAGGAAAGCAGATTCCTCCCTGGCAGGTTTTGGGGGGCCTCCATGTGCCCCACAGGTGAGCGCCTGGGGAGTCCTGGGCAGCAGTGAGCCCCCACTCACCATGAACAGTGAGAGCGGCCCTGAGTGCTCACCCAGGGAGACCCCAAAGACGTTCTTGAGCTGGGAGACGAGGACATGCACGGAGGCAGCAGTGGTGTAGCCACGCACCAGCGGGTCCGAGAGGTAGGTCACCACGAAGCCAAACTGCAGCAGGCCCAGGGCCACCTGGAAGGAGAGGCAGCAGAAGTGACCCACAGCTTGTGGCCCTGGGGCACCATGGCCCCCCGTTCCCTGCGAGGCTAGGCTGGGGCCCCCTTACCTGGAATATGCCTGTCAGGACAGTGATGGTGGCCACCAGCTCCACCCTGGCAGCATCCCGCCGTGCCTCATTGACTGTCATGTTGCTGCCATTGACGGACTCCATGAAGTTCTCACTGGGCACCAGGGAGTCCGTCACGCTCCCGATCATGACGGAGATGACAGCAAAGGGACCTGGGGACAGGCAGGGTGTGGGCAGGGAGCTCAAGGTCAGCACCAGGACCTCTCTGAGGTCCACAGGCACCTATCCCCTTGGGCTGGGCTCAAAGCGCACCCACTGTGCTTTGGCTCTGGTTTGGCCAACCACCTTCTTGGTGGGGCAAAATAAAGGCAAGAAAGGTCCCCTCCAGTGGTTGATGTGGTAATGCTGTGCTGTGGAGGAGGGCTCACCCCTCTCATAGTTGCTCCCTCCCCACCATCCCTGTGGGAGCACATGGTCCCTCAGCTCACCCATGGAGTTGTGCCTGGATGTCCCAAAGAAGAAGTAGAGGAAGACGGGGTAGAAGGAGGAGTAGAGACCAGTGACGGGTGGCAGCCCGGCCAGCAGTGCGTAGGCAAGTCCTGGACATGGCAGAGCAGGGAGACATGTCATGGATGGCCGAGCCCTGGCCCCCCCAACCTGCAGGGAGCCCCCGGCAACCTGGGCATGGCATCACTCACCCTGGGGCAGGTGCATGATGCCCACGCTGAAGCCTGAGACAATATCCCCCAGGAGCCAGTCCTTGACTGGGTAGCGGGGAATCCAGCGCAGGAAGGGCAGGAACCGGAAAAGCAGGGACTTGGCAGTGGAGACCGAGCATCTGGTGGGGAAGGAGCAGGAGCTGGGGCTGAGCTCAAGTGCAGGGGCTTGGAGGCATAAGTGGGAGTGGATGGAGCTCCGTGGGAAGCAATGGGTCCTGTGGGACACCCAGCTCCATCCACTGGAACCAGGTGTCCCTCCAGGCAGGAGGATAGAGTGGGAATGTGGATGTTTGGGCTTGGGGGACCAGTCCCTGGGTCTACACCGTGTCTACCGCAGGGGCTGGGACAGCCAGAGCCAGGCTCCCCGTGGCAGTGGGGCTGGGGTACACGGTGCCTGGTGGGGTCCAGGCACAACCCCCTGGCCAGTGCGGTCCTACCTGGTCTTGTGGAGACAGCTGCGCAGTGAGGGCTTGGTGGGAGGTTTCCGCTGTGCCAGCTCCTCCAGGTCGGCCTCGCTCAGCACCTCATGAGGCGCTCGGTGGCTCAGTGCCATCTCCACTGCCATGCCCATCTGGCCCTCCTGCGTGCCAGCCTACCGCGGGGACACGACGGACAGCTCAGCCACATCCCCACGGCTGGGGGCACTTGGCACCCTACTCACCCCGCAGCCCCTCCTGCAGCACTGCTCGCCCCGCGGAGCCATCCCATCCCGGCCAGGTGTGCAGGATCGGCCCCTGAGGCCAGGGGTGAGCCGAGTTTTGGGAGTCCTGAAGCAGTGGCAGCAGCTCACAACAGAGAGTGGCAGGCAGCCAGCATGTGGGCAGGGAGGGAGCCGAGGCCTCGGCAATCAGCGCTGCCTGCTCCTGCCCTGCGCCAGCCCCATCTGCCCCGCTGGGGTGCACAGGTGGGGGCTGCCAGCAGAGCTGCCCCAGGTGGGGTCCCCCTCTGCCTGCCCACACAGGACCCACCTCGGTGCTAACCACCCTTCTCCTCCACGTACCGCAGCGCAGCCAGGGCAGTGGGCCAGCACAGCCGCCGAGCAAAGCCCCAGCCACCCCACAACCCTGTCTGCAGACTTTGTCCCTTTACACATGAGGGGAGTAGGAATGTCAACCTCCAGCGAGTGTCACGGGCTCACCATCTCTCCGCCACCGCCCTCCCCAGCCCCTGCACTGCGGAGCAAGGGTGAGCCCGTGGGCATGGAGGAGCAGGGCTGAGATCTTTCCCTTCGCAGGGCTGGGACGGTGGGACCAAGGCTTCTCTACAGATCCGCAGCCTGGCCTTGCTTGGGGCTCGAGCCGAGAGCTGCCACCGTCCTGCCGGGCTCACCCAGCTGGTGGCCCTGGCTGGTCCCGAGGTGCTCGCTTGCAACCAGACCTGTGAGCCACTCGCAGGGTGCCCGGGGCTGTGCCAGCCCGAGTCCCCACATTTCCCCCAGCCCTCCTACCTGCTGTGCCCAAGTTGATCAGGTGTCACCAGCCAGGTGCACGCTCTGCTCCCTCCTATTTATTAATACCAACCCGTGATCTTTGAAACACTGCTCCCTGACTCCTGCCCTCCCTCCTGCCCTGCTGAGGAGCTGCCTGCTTCCCAGCCCCACTGCTGCATGGCACCCGCCACGCTCCCCCTGGTGCCCTGTTGTGCTGGATTCCCTGGCTGTGGCAGGCCCAGGGCTGCCACCGCTGTCCCCAGGGCCATCCCATCCTGTGGACTGTCCTGGCGAGTCTCAGCTCCTGGCCCGCAACAGTGTCCAGGGTACCGCCATGGCCCAGCACCCATGCTGCGTAGAGGGCAGGGTTCTTGCCACCGGGCACGTCCTGGTGCCAACCCCCTGCCAAGAGCTGCCAGGTGCTCACCTCCCCCGGGGGCACTGTTCGGGGGATGCTCTGGGCCCCGCCATCACCTTCCTGTGCCCCCAGGGCTCCCATGGGTGTCCCCTCCCCACTCCATGTCCTGGAGCAGGAGCTGTGCCTGGGGCAAGGAGAGTTACTCACAGCCTCCAGCTGTGGCATCTGGGGTATTTTCCACGGCCTCCGGCCCCTGCTTACCTGCTGGAAACGGGTGTGCTGTGCCCTGTGGAATGCCCCGCTCTCCCACAGCATGCGCAGACCCAGCCGTTATCTTATTCCAAAGGTCCCCAGCGGGCACCAGAGTTGCGCTGAACCCATCACGCCTTCCTGGGCTCCACCACGACCTGCGATTGCCATTGGTTTCAGAGCATTTCTGAGTCAGGCTTGGCCCAGGCCTATGGGGACATGGCAGTGGAAATCCAGGCACCCGTGGGCTGGGCTGGCTGGTGCCAGGGTGTGGGGTGAAGCTAGTGGAGAGGGCAGGGCAGGTTCCAGGGAATCCCGGGTGCCCTGGGTGGTGGGATGGGGCTGGTGAGTGAGCGGCGTGAGTGGTGACACCTGGGACCACGCTCTGTGGGGTCGGAGCGACTCGTTCCCATCCCTGCTGGCTGGGTGGGGGGAAACCCGTGGCCACTCCGGCTCTCCCCGTGGTTGGCATAAACTGGGTCCCACAGCAGCTACACCCAGATTCCTCGGCTGCCTTTCAGCAGTGGGGCTGAGCCTGCTCCCCTCAGCCTCTCCCGCATCCCTGACCCCCCGCTGTCCCACCCTCATGCCCATCAGTCCCACCGTGGCCGGGTAGCGGCTCGCCGATGCTGACACAGGCTCCTGCCCGTGCCTGCTGCCTCGGCATCGCGTGCCCGCTCACCTGGCACGGAAGCAGAGGCCATCACAGGGCTCCTGCTTGGTAGCAACTGATAGCGCCGCGTGCCATTTACTGCCTCCTTATCGCCACTCCCTGTCCCCACTCTGTGCCACTGCTTCCTGCACCCCAGCCTCCAGCCCCTGCACCCCGCACTCGCTGCTCTGCCTGTGGCCCCCTCTTGGCTTCCCCAGCCCCCCACCCCGCTCTCCCTGGTCCCTCGCCCCCAGGCCAGCCTCGGGAAGGGCTGGAAGACAGGACCACAGCTCCTGGCATTGCCAACGCGACTCCCCGGGGGCTGCCGTGAGTCCGGCCTCCCCGGTGCTCGGGGGCTGCCCTGGGCTGGGTTAGGCTCAGGCCAGCGCTAAGGACAGAGCCCGTGACGGACGGAGGGAAGATGACTGATGGCGACCCTTGCTCAAGGTGCCGTGGATCAATACTGCCCTTTGGTCACCTGCTCTTTCCTCTCCAACAGCAAGAAAGGGAGGGACGGAGGGCCCAAGGATCACGCTCGGCCTCTCCTCGCACTTCCCTCTCCTTGCCCGCAGCCCGGATCGGCCCTGCTGAGATCATGCTGCCTTCGGACAGTGGATTTCTCCCCTTGGCCTCACCCAGGCTGCTGCCGGGCGTGGGTCCTGTGGCTAACCACAGCCACCGCAGTGCTGCAGACCTGCCAGCCAGGACCGGGGCCACTGGGCACCACTGCAGCCAAACCCATCTCTGGGTGAACAGGCTTGGACAGAGCCAAGTTCAAGCAACTGGCAGCACCTGAAGTCCCTGTGACCTGGTCACCTTGCCCCGGGCCACAGCAACTCCCCTTCAGCCCAGGAGCTGGCTGTAAGCTCCTGCCCAAGCCCCCTCCCAGCATTGCCTCAAGCCCAGGCCCTGTGCCCATAGCCCCAGCCATGGATCCTGAGCATAGGGAGAGACGGCAGAGAAGCCAGGACCATTTTATAGACTTTTATTTCCAAATCTGGCGCTTCCATGATACACTTTTACACAGCCAGGGAGGGGGCACGGGCATCTCCCCGCTCCCTGCCCACAGAATTGGGAGATGGAGAGAGGAAAAAACCAAAACAACCAAACCCCCCAAAGAAACAAACCCAACCTAAACCCAAGGAGGATGCTCCCCAGAGCCCAGGCCACAGCACTACAATCGGGGACCAAGCTACAGACTGACTCCTGCTTCTTGACCAGCCCAGCTCTGTGGCAACAGCCACCGGCTCCGCTGCTCTCTTCTTTTTGGCACTTGTCACTTGCTCTCCGTTTGGCACCAGCACAAAGAGCCCCCGTGCCCAACTTAGCAGAAACATGGGCCCTACAGCGCAGCAGGGACAGAAACCCAGGACTCCGGTGCCACTGCTGTGCAGCCGGAGAAAAACATGTAAACGAGCTTGTTCCCGAAGGCAAAGACAGCAGGCTTTCCCTCTGTCCACTGGTCCCGAACAGCATGTAAACATGTCAGCAGGCCCTTCCCTCCCCATCCCCGGGAGAAGGGCGGCAGTGAGCCTGCCTCGTCAGGGCTGTGACAGGGGCAGGCAGCCCCTGCCAGGCCCATGGCACCCCCATCACCCAGCCCTTCTGTTCCCTCCACACTCTCCCCGCTGACTCGGGGACGTAGCCGAGAGGCCTTGGCCTCCCTGGGGGCCTGGAGGACAGTGGCACAAGTCCTCTCCTGTAAACATGTCAGGCTGGGCTGCAGTAAGATGCTACGGCAGCATGGTAGTAAGGCAGTAAGGAGCGTGCTGTCACGCAGCCCCAAGAGCACCACAGGGGCAGCCGAGCAGAGGCACCACACTCGGCAGGTGAGAAGGAGAGTGCCAGCCCCCAGAGCCGAATGCCCCTGACCCGAGGCTGGGGTAGGCACAGAGGAGTGTCATCTCACAGCAGGGCCAGTGGAAGCCCGGGGCCAGGCCCCCAGCCAAGCAGAGAAACCATCAGGGTGGCCTGAATTTCCAGAGAGGAAAAAGTGCTGTTTATCTCCATCTCCCAAAATCCAGGCCACTCTGAGCTGGGTTCCTCTGCCAGCCAGAGAGCACAGGGATGTGTGCATATGTATGCAGAGCCCACAGGGAACCAGCTGGATACAACTTTTGTGGGCAATGCTGGACCCCAAGACTGGAGCCACATCGCGTTCCTGCAGATGCTAATCCTCCGCTGGGTGAGCGTCGGCTCTGGGAACAGCCTAGCCTGCTGCTGGGCAGGGCTAGGGTCATCCAGCTCCTTGCCTGGACCCACAAACCAACAGAGGTTTGCTCTGTAACACGCAGGTTAAAGAGCGTAACATACAGTGGGTAAAAACATAGTGCTCATTTGCTGAGCAGAGGAAACCAGCACTTGTAGGAGTGGTACCATCCTGGTACAGGACAGGACTGACCAGCAAAGTTTGTTTCCTCCCCCAGCGGATCCCTAGTGCTGAATTTCCTGCCCCACTCACTTGTGGTCTCGCTGGCACACAGCCTCAGCTCACGGACAAGGGGCAGCTCCAAGCGGGGTCCCACAGGAGGGCAGAGGGGGGCCTGGCTGCAGCGCCAGCACAGCTGCAGGGGGCTGAGGGACGCCAGGCAGGAGGACGGCACCGAGACACGTGTGGAGCTGCATGGTGGGAGGGCAAGGGGCAGCGGGACCAGCTGTCCCACAATGGGGATGGGACAAAGTGGTGCTGGCAAAGCCATAAGGGCTGCCTGGCACTGTCTCTCCAGTCCGCTGGGGTTATGGTCCCTGGTACCCCCAGCGAAGCTGGCAAAGGGCTGTTGGTGAAACAAATGCTCCAGGTCCTGGGAACAGACCATCCGTAAAAATAACCATAGAAATTTCTCTTCTCTCTGATTACAAAGATACAAAAAGGTAGAA